TGCCCCAGGGCAGTCCGCTCTTCGCTCTGTGCGCCAGGTCAGCCCACTGTTCCGCCTCCGCCTCTTGGTCCCTCTGCTGGGGTCTCTGCCGAGGTGTCTCTCTGCCAGGGCGTGTCTCTCTGCCGGGGCGTCTCTGCCAAGGAGGTCGAGCACAGGGATCTCGGGTCCAAGGACATGGTCCCCTTCACCTCCAGCTCTTCTCTCTTGATGGCAGTGAGATCCCCCTCTGCCTCTAGGAGGGTGCATTGTAAGCCTGGCAGAGCGACACAACTAACCAATGCCAACATCAGAGTTCTACACACCTTCTTTGCATGGTCTCACCCAGTAATCTGGTGAGAGCTGCAAAGACTATGGCTAGAAAAATAACAAATAATCCACCATAGTGCTCTGGGAAGCAGTGCAGTGCCAGCCATTGGCTCATGGTTGCCTCAGCAGGGCAGGGGGTGAGGGGAGGGGTGTGTGTGATGTGATTTGCCACCCAGCCCTCATTTCTCAGATGGAGAAATGGAAGCACAGAGCGGGGCAAACCTCCCTCTGAGCTCTGAGCAACCCTGGCTCGTGGCGTCTTTAGCCGTGTGGGTAGCGTCCTCACACTGCCGTCTCTCCGGGCTGTGTCTCCACTTCCCCCCTCTACCTCCCTCCCACTTAGAAGGACCTGTGACTACGTCGGCTCCCTTAGAGCCAGGATAACCTCCCATCTTAAGGCCAGCTGGTCAGCACCCTGAATTCCCCTTGCCACATAAGCAACATACTCACAGGCCTGGAGATTAGCACGTGGTCATGCCTGGGAGCCCTTATTCTGCAGGCCTGAGAAGGAGGCCCAAGGTAGACGGTCCCTTTCTGCCACAGACAATGCTGGATCTTGATGCGATGTCCAGAGCAGCTGCAGTCACGCTGGCACCCTTCTGAGGACAAATCCAACGCAGGAGGAGGGGCAGGGCCCAGAGCATCATGGGAGAGCACTGAAGACGCCAGGCGTCTTCCGCGGGGAGCTTCGTTCCAGGCGAGATGACACAATCTCTCATCATCTGAGGCACTGCCACTTGTTTATACCGAAAGGCATCTGAGGAGAAGAATGTAGTGTCACTCGGATGTCTGTTCTCACCTCTAGACAGAAAAGCCTGGATTTTCATCTGGGCAAACGTCCACCCAATGAAAACTACATCTCCCAGCCTCCCCTGCAACTAGGTGTGGCCACGTGAACTGGTTCCAGCCAATGGGGCTTGAGCAAAGAAATGCTCCATGCAGCTGGATTTCACCTTTAGAGTCGAGGGGCAGACCAGACCTAGGAACCAGCAGATTCCGGTGAGCAAATGGGACAGTCCCACTTTCGTGCCAGGCAGAGCTGATCAGTGCTGTTAGAGGTCAGGATAGTAATGATCGGGATGAGGGAGGGAGGGGAGCTAGGAGGGCCTGGGGGGGGGGGCCCTGGCGGCCAGCAACAGGGCTGTGTTCAGCTGTGGAGGGGGCGGGGGGGGGGGGGCCCTGGCGGCCAGCAACAGGGCTGTGTTCAGCTGTGGAGAGGCCCCAGGCTCTAAGGGCATGATGCTACTGGAAATTAGAACATAGGGTGGTGTTGTTGTTGTTTGCCGTCGAGTCGGCCCCGACTCCTAGCGACCTTGGGTTTCCGAGGCAGTATCACTACGGAAGTAGATTGCCCCATCTTCCTTCCGAGGAGTGGCTGGTGGGTTTGAACCGCCAGCCTTCTGGTGAGCAGTCAAGTGCCTTAGGCACTATGCTATCAGAGCTTCTGGAACATAGGATAGAGGCTCTGTTTTCTGGTTCCCAGTGCCGCTCTGACAGGAATATACCACAAATGGGATGGCCTTAACAAACAGGAGTTTATATTACAGTCTGGAGGCTTTAAGTTCAAGTTCAAAGTGCCAGGCTCTAGGGGCTGGGTGCAAGCCCCTCAGCCTTGGGGTCCAGCTCTGCCTCCTGCTCCCGGCCCACTGGAGCTAGAGGCGTTTCTTCACTCAGACAGCTGCTGGCCGCTGAGGCTGAGAAGCCCAAGGTTGACAAATAAAAAGGCACAGTCCCGATGTTACCAAACCACATGGCAGACCATTAATTCAAGTCCATTGTAAGTCCCAAGGTCGGCAGAGCATGGCAGGCTGCTGAGCAATGACACGGCTCCATGCAGGGTCCAAGCGTGCCACAGGCTAGAGACCATTGCCAAGGCTTCTCCTTATCTACAGGAAGCAGACCACCTCCCAAAGGCAGCTACTTAGCTGCTTGTGGTAGATCCCACCATGGAGTTGATTGCCAGTCTCATCATGGGGGATAACTCCCACCAGCTGCCCAGCCACTCAGCCAGGCCCAGCAAGTTGACACAAAAATATAACCACCACACTCTGGTAGTGTCGTGCCTAAGGCATCTGACTGCTAACCAGAAGGCTGGCAGTTCAAACCCACCAGCCACCCCCGGAAGGAAGATTGGTTAATCTACTTCTGTACAGATACCACCTCTGAAACCAAGGAGTGGCTGGTGGGTTTGAACCGCCAGCCTTCTGGGTAGTAGTCAAGTGCCTTAGGCACGACACTACCAGAGCTCCTGAGGGATGCCTTCTCTGAAACTAAGGAGGGTTGGGATCGAACTCCCCTGCGGTGAGTTTGGATTTTTGGTTTTAGGGACACCACGATGCACTTGAGTGGGGCGACATCGCGTGGTCATTCTGGGGTACTGTTTCCTCTCCATTTGTCTAACAGATAGTCATTGAAATCCTACACTTGCCCACCAACGACTCAGTGAGCTTGGTCTCTGCCTACTCACCTTCTGATGGGGTGCAAAGGCAATAAATATGTTACGAACGCAGCATGCAATTTCACTCCCAAAGTATATGTGTGTTCCATACGGCTTTCACCTCTGAGAAGTGTCTCAGGCCTTGTGGTAGTTAAGGTTGTTGTCAACTTGGCCGGGCCTGGTTGAGGGGCTGGGCAGCTGGATGTAGTTACTCCCTGTGGTGAGATTGGCAATCAACTCCATGGTGGAATCTAGTGGAGCAGCTGAGTAGCCGCTTTAGCGGTGTGGTCTGCTTCCAGTACGTAAGAAGCAGCTTTGAGGAAGATGTCCAGCTTCTGGCACGACTGCCCCCCTGCACCGTAGCCGAGTCTTCATTCCGTAGCCTGCCTTGCCCTGCCGATCTTAGGACGTTTTCTGGGACTCGAACGAACGGAACGGTCTGCCTGCCGTGTGCTTTGGCCATTTCGGGACTGTGCCTTTTCCCTTGTCGACCTTGGGTTTGTCAGCAGCTGCCTGAGGGAGGAGATGCCTCTAGCTGCAGTGGGCCGGGAGCCAGAGGCAGAGCTGAAGCCCAAGGTCGAGCGGCTGTCACCCAGGCCCTAGAGCCTGGCACCTGCAACTCGGACTTCGAACCTCCAAACTTGTAAGGGAATAGACTCCTGTTTGTTAAAGCCATCCCGTGTGTGGTCTCTTCTTGTCAAGAGTGGCACTAGGTAACGAAACAGACCTATTTTTCACATAGTTCACCTTTTTTCTTGTCGACTTGTAGGTGTTACATAGTGTGGATACTGAGTGGTCAGGTATGTGGCTAATATTGTCTTCCCACTTGCGGTTTTGTCACTTCACTTTATGAAGGTGTCTTTTGTTTCTCAGAAGTGCTTACATTTAATATGGAGGAATTTATTAGTAATTTAGGATTAGCACTTTTTGGGTCTTTAAAAACGTCTTTTTCCTAACCCCCCCATGGGACAAAGTTAAAAAAAAAAGAGCGTTGCTGTTGACTCTGAGCCCAGCGACCCCGTGGGGCAGCGTCGAGCTGCGCCGGGCTCCCAGTGAACGTGACCTGACGGAAGCAGGTTGCCAGGCCTTTCTTCCCAGCGTGGCCACCGGGTGGACTCATTGCCAGCCTTTAGGTTAGTAGCAGGGTGCAAAATGTTCGCGTCACCGGGCCTTAATTTGTTCTGTACGTTTTAGCGTTTTGTCCTGACCTTCAAGTCCAAATCCGCCCAATCTGAGTGGGGCATTTTCTGGAGTCCGCTCCAGGCCCTGGGCAGCAATGAAGAGTAGAAGGGCCCCAGCCTCTAGTTCCAGGAGACCACTTTCCAGAGAGCGGAGCCAGCCACTGAGGAAGATCACAAAGCAGCCCAGCCACTGAGTGCGGTGCCGTGGGGAAACCCGCAGGGAGCTGGGATGCAGAGAGGGCTGTGTGAGTGGGCCCTCTCGCAGAGCTGCAGCCAAGGGGGATGCCAGGCAGCTGGGCGACCATGCAAAGGCCAGGCCCCATGGGGTGAGGGCAGGCTCCCGCGGTTCACGGTCATGGTCACCTTCGTGGTGGAGGCCAGTGTGGCTGGAGCGGAGGGTGAGCTGGGGAGGCAGCAGGGAGGGGCTTAATGGGCCCCGGGGACTGGACAGTGTGGGAGTCGGAATGTGGCTGAGAATGCGGGGCGGGCCATTCTCCGGTTGCCATGACAGCCACAGAGCCACTTGGGTGTTGAGGGAGGAAGGCGCAAGGTCTAGCGGGTCCCATGGGGGACCACAGGCAGAGTTTGGCCAAGAATGACCTTGTCACTGAGGCTGAGAGTGAGGCAGGAAAGGGGCAAGGCCAGGATGATTCAGGCCCCCAGGGCCCTGGGACGGCCAGCCAGGGGCCGCCGGGCCCCGAGGCCCAGGAGCCAAAGGATGGCAGGGCCGTGCCAGGGCTGCAAGGAGATGTGCAGGAGCTTGTCCTCAAGGAGCAGGCCGGGGAGGAGGCCTTGGGGGCGCAGCACCCCGAGGAGGCCCTCTCCCAGCTGGAGAGGGTCCTAGAGACAGGCCTGCAGGATGATGACATTCCTGAAGTGAGGTGGGTGGGGGGCGGCAGTGCGGTGTGGGCAGCAGGGGCCGGGGAGCAGGGCCACGTGGGGCAGCGGGGGTGGCACAGGGCAGAGGGGGCTGGGGACAGTTCCACGCCCACCACAACCCATCTGTGTCCCTTAGACACTGGGAGGAGGCCAAGCTGCCCCTGCGGACTCTGAGTCGGGTGCTGCTAGTGCGGGCGGTAGATTGGGGCGGCAGCACCCACACTGGCCTTTGAGGCAAAAGTCGGGGAGCATGGTGTCCTCTCTCCTCCAGGTTCAGGAGGTGGCCGGTGGTGGAGAGTCGGCAGAGTTGAGATGCCAGACGGGAGAGGTTACGAGTTAGAGGTCCCAGCTCAGCCCCGTGGGGCCTGGTCCGTGGCAGGCAGTTGGTAGATGTTTGTGTTCAATGTCAGCTCATTACCGGTTCACTCACTGGCCCACTCCGGGAGGAAGGACCTGTGTCCACGCCCACCTCAGAGCACGCGGACCTGTGTCCATGCCTACCTCAGAGCGCACGGAGCCGAGGCTTGGAGGCTGGGTGACATGACCAAACACATGCACCAGCGTCCAAAATCCTGCCCCAGAGAGGCTCCTTTGGAGGGAGGGAAGCCCCTGCGGGGAGTGAGCCCGGGTGCTGGGTGCCTGAGTCAGACCCGAGCAGCGCCCGACGCCGGGGCAGGACCACTGTTGCAGCCTGACTCGTTCTCCCACAGCCGGCTGTCGATCAGCCACGAGTGGTCTAGGCCTAGAGGAAGGAGAAAGAAGAGGAGGCTCTTTGACTTGGCGAGACCCAAGACCAATTGGCAAGTCTTGGCAGACAGGTGAGGGCATGCCGGTGAGGCCTGGGCAGTGAGGCCCCCAGCTATGGCAAAGTTAGGGTGAGTGGGGCCCAGGCAGTTAGGGAGGATGTGGAGGAGGGAGACAGTCAAGGTACTGGAGGCAGCCCCTTGGGGGGCAGGGGCCCTGCTGGCCCCCCGGAGAGTCGGGGCTGTGGGCGCAGGGGCCCAGAGCCAAGGGCAGTGGGGGCTGGAACTTCTCATCACAGGGTGGGCTGCTGTGAGGGCTATGCCTGGATCTCCCCCTGCAACTCGACCTTGCACTTCACCCTCTACTGGTAAGTCCTGTCCCCCCCAGCCCCACCCCAAGGGCCGTCCCAGCTTCCAGGGTCCCTCCGCTAGAGCCACCTCCCCTGCTCCCCAGGTCAAAAAAAAAGGAAACCACTGCCTTCGAGTCAGATCCGACTCAGCGACCTCTCCTTGGGTTTCTGAGGCGGTATCACTACGGAAGTAGATTGCCCAACCTTCCTTCTGAGGAGTGGCTGGTGGGTTTGAACCGCCAGCCTTCTGGTTAGCAGTCAGGTGCCTTAGGCACTAGCCAGCAGAGCTCCTCCCCAGGTCAAAGACAGGGCCGACTTGCATGATGCACCCCTGTTCCTAGTTCTGCCTCCACTACCCCCCAACAAGGACTTTGATTACAAGGATGTACATGCCATGGTGCTCCCCATACTGCCCTGCCTGACCTGCCCCCTCCCTGACCTGCCCCCTCCCTGACCGTCACCCCCACACTGCCCTCTCTGACCGGCCCCCTCCCTGACCTGCCCCCTCCCTGACTGTCACCCCCACACTGCCCTCCCTGACCTGCCCCTCCCTGACCGTCACCTCCCTGACCGTCACCCCCACACTGCTCTCTCTGACCGGCCCCCTCCCTGACCTGCCCCTCTCTGACTGTCACCCCCACCCCCTGTGTGGTGCATATGGGGGAGCCCTGAGCTTCTCCTTCAGAGCAGGACACCTCCTGGTGACTCTGTCCCCTGACTGACACCTGGTGTGTTCCAGGCCATCTGTGTACTGGACAGAGAGGTTCCTGGAGGACACCACCCTCTCCGTCACGGTGCCAGGTAAGGAGGGGCCCAGTGTGGCCATCGCCTGGTGGGCAAGAACCAAGAAGGGCCACCCCCGTCCCCCCTGGGCCCAGCTCGGGTTCTGGGACCTCAAGGCTTTTCACATTTGCCTGTCTCCCATCTGCTAGGTGTCTCTGCACCCCCATCTCACAGGAGGCTCTGGCCCCTATTTCTCAGGGGTCTTTGTGACACATTGTCAAGGGTCCCTTCTCTGGACTCCGTCCCCCACAAGCTGTAGGCACATTCTGGGGGTGGGGGCAGGAGGCAATCTCTCCAGGGAAAATTCCTGTTTATGTCACAGTCGGGGGGGGGTCTACACCACAGTCAAGGGGGGTCTACGTCACAGTGAGGAGGCCTACACCACAGTCAGGGGGTCCACGCCACAACCGGGGGGGTCTACACTACAGCTGGGGGGTCTCTGTCACAGCCAGGGGGGGTCTACACTATAGTCAGGGGGTGTCTACACCACAGTCAGAGGGGTCTATGTTGCAGTCAGGGGGTCTACACCACAGCCGAGGGGGTCTACACCACAGCTGGGGTCTACACTCTACCTGGGGAGGGCTCTCTCCGCAGCCAGGGGGATCGGGGTTAGCGTTCACAAAGGCCCATGCCTTCCCCTGGTGGCTCCCACATGTTTCAGGGTCTCAGAGAGCTCACCGATGAGCCAAACAGCGGTGAGTGGGAAGCTCAGCCTCCACTAACTCCAGACCCCAAGCCACTGGCCCCCACAGTCTGGGGTCTGTGCCGAGCTGCAGCTCCGTCCCGGGTCGCCCTTGGCCTGGGCTTCCTGCCGGGTGCTGGAGCCACGGACGCTGACCCAGCTTACGGAGGATGGGGGGTGGTGTGAGCCATTTAAGTTGGGGTCCAGTGGCTCTGGGGTGACTGGAGTGTTTCCCATTTTGCACAGCGGTGTCCCCCCGAGTGGAGGAACTGGCTCGGCCTAAGAGGTTCTACTCGGAGTATTACAACAACAGCAGGTAGGGCCAGGGCTGTCTGCAAGAGGCTGAAGAAATAACCTGCGTTCAAAAGGCTAGGCCACTTCCCTGCCGGATGCCATGGGCAGGTCCTTGGGCCCTGTGACCTCATTCTCTACCTGCACACGCTTACTGAACCACGGGGGGGGGGCGGGGGGGAGAGTGTGTCGGGACCTGTGCCGTTCACCAGGGACACGAGGAGACAGCCCACGGCAGAGTCCTGAGGGCAGGTCAGACACACCAGCCTTCCACCCTCCTATCCCTCTGACCTGCCGCCCCACCTGTGGCACTCTCCACTTCTGCTCTGGGTGTGAGAAACTGTCGCAATGGCCACACAGAGCTCCCAGTTAGGGAATTCCCTAAGGAATCAGGATCAGCAGGCTTCAAATCAGGGTCAGCAGGCTTCAAATCAGGGTCAGGGGCATGAAGCGTCTTCACGCCTGAAGGAACTAGGTCTCGCCTCTGTGCCTGCCGGTGGAGGCCTGCTGTCTCGGCTCCTCCCGGCTGTGCAGGCCTCCTCCGGGCCCGTCAGGACAGCCTCCTGCTCCTGCCCCTGCCGTCTGTCACTGCCAGCTCAGCCCCTTCTGGGCTTCTCGCTGTCTTCAGCGGTGCGGCTCCTGTGGGAGGCTCCTTGTCTCCACGCTCTCTGCCTCTTCTCTCTTCCTGCTGCTTTCTGTCTCAAACCTCTGTGGCGCTGCCTGCTCATAGCCACAACTCCTTGTCAGTTTCAAGGCATGGCCCTCCCACTGGGCCACCAACTGACCAATCTCTTCTTTGTTGACCACAGACACTTCATCTGCATAGTAGGTGACAGTTACCTCATTTGCATAGTCTGTGGACAGTCCTTAGCAAGTGCATACCAAACACGCGCAGGCCGCAGCCCAGACGCAGGTGAAAGCACGGGCGACCTCAGGGACATTGCAGGTTGAGTTTCAGACCATTGCAGTGAAGTTAGTCACACGAGTGGTTTGATTGCCCAGTGCATACAAGAGTCTGTTTACACCCTCCTGCGGTCTATTCAGTGTGCACTAGCATGATGAAGAAGTTGGAAACACTGTGAGAGTGGCTGAAGGCATGAAGCCAGTGCGCACCCTTACAGTCTATTACGGCAGGGATAGACTTGCTTGACGCGCGGCTGCCGCAAAGCTTCAACTTGAGAAAAACGCAGCATCCGTGGTAATCCACAGAATGAGGTCTACCTGTATACAAACCAAGTTGATTACAGTTTACCCAGGAAATGTCAGTCAACCTGGAGAAAAGTGGCACACCCTCTCAGGGAAAAAAACAGGCCCAGGTCCTCAGGGCTCGGGGGAAGTCTCTCACACTGTTTTCGCCAAGAACCAAGGCAAAGGGACAGGAAGCTCACTTCCCCACACACGGTAACTGCAAAGTAGGTGGTGGTGAAGATCACAGAGGGAGTGTAGCGCTGCTCTAGGCTGGACGCATGCCAGGAGTGGTACCCCCGTGACAGGATGCATGCAGGGAGCGTTACCACTGTGATGGGAAGTGTCCAGCGAGTATTACAACCGTGATGGAACATGTGCAGGGAGCATTACCACTGTGACAGGAAGCATCCAGCGAGTGTTCCAACTGTGATGGGACGCGTGCAGGGAGCATTACCACTGATAGGGGATGTGTCCAGGGAGTGTTACCACCATGATGGGATGCGTGCTGGGAGCGTTACCCCCGTGACAGGATGCATGCAGGGAGCATTACCACTGAGACAGGACGCGTGCAGGGAGTGTTACCGCTGTGATGGGAAGTGTCCAGGGAGTATGACAACCATGATGGGGCACGTGCAGGGAGCATTACCACCGTGACAGGACGCGTGCAGGGATCATTACCACCGAGATGAGACACGTGCAGGGAATGTTACAACTGAGACGGGACACGTGCAGGGAGTGTTACCACCGTGACAGGAAGCGTCCAGAGAGTGTTACAGCTGTGATGGGATGTGTGCATTGAGCATTACTGAGATGGGATGCATGCAGGGAGCGTTACCACCCTGGCAGGAAGTGTCCAGTGGGCATCACCACCCTGACCGGATGCATCCAGTGAGTGTTACCACCATGATAGGACGCGGCCAGTGAGTTTCTTGACAAGCTAGCAATCCTAAGACACATTTTTAATGTACAACTTAGGCACGATTCCTTCCTATCATTTAGAACTTCACACTTGTTAAAAGTGATCTTTCGAGTTATTTGGACACAGTCAAAACTGCATATGATGGAAAATATAGCTGAGATAAATTCACTGACAAGCATCTGATACTTTGGCATGGCTTCTGACTTGGAGGTGTGAACATGTGTGTTCTTCCCCACATGTACCGTACACTGTGTGTACAGTAACTTTCCATGTTAATGCCGAATCATTTTGAGGCAAATTTGAACTGCGCTTCCCCCTGACACCTGTAAACCAGCAAAGCACATGACTCGACTGAAGTGCTATCTGTGTGAGCAGCTGTACCTGCGGGCGAGGACACCGCGGGTGGCCATGGGCTCTGCTGCCCGGTGATAGCATTTACAAGCTGCGCTCCAGCCCCAAGATTTAGAAGGGGACAGAATCCACACCCCACAGCTTCCTTCTGGGGCAGAGATGTAGCTGAGCTCACTTTCAGGTGGCACGGACCTAGTGGCATTCCGCTTCTCCATCTCCCGTGGCAGCCGCGGGGCAAACCCCTCGATCCCGCGGGCCTAACCCCTCACCTGAGCTCCTGATGGCAGTGGTGGGGAAAGGCCCCTGGAAGGAGCTGTCCCCACAGAGGGGTGTGGGGAGGGACTGAACGGAGGACAGCTTCTGCTCCTGGAGCTGGGTGGCCTTGGAGAGGGGTGGCACTGTCCTTGTGAGGTCTCTGGGAGGCTTCTCTTATGGATTCCTTTGTGAATCCTTTCTTGGTGGTGTCTTTAAACCCTCCTTTTTTTTCCCAGGGTCACCTTTACTCCCTGAGACAGAGAGGGACTGAGGGAGAGATGTCGTGTGCACGCACGCACACAGACACACACACACAGAGACATGTCCTCTCGGCTACAGGTGGACTAAACTGTAAACGTCCCACAGGACCACTCCGATCTGGCCCATCCCACGGTCCACCTTGGAATACCAAGCATCGAACCGCCTGAAGGAACTAGCCACCCCTAAGATTCGGAACGACATCTGGAATATAAACATGTCCGAGGTAGGTGCCTACCTCTTCTGCGGACCTCACCCCACCCCAATATTGGGGGGTCATGACTGGGCTGGGGACAGTGGCGGAGCTGGCCTGAGCAGTGTGCTCCCAGGGCCAGTGACAGCGGTTCCCGGGGCTTCTCTGAGAACCGGAGGTGTGGTCCCTGGAGTAAGCAGGCAGATTTTTGCAGGAGATGTCTGCTAGGGTCCTTCCATACCCACCCGCCGCAGGGTGACCTGAGCGGCCTCACGGCCATCCTTGTACTTTATGACATACACAGACCCATAGACCATAATTGTTCTGTTTAGTTATTTCAATGTATATAGATGGCATCATATCTTTCTTGATTTTTCCTTTAATATATATTTTTTATAGAGTGATGCACATTGATTCATATGCCCCAGTGCAGCGGAGTCGATTCCGACTCACAGCGCCCCTAGAGGACAGAGTGGAACTGCCCCATGGGGTTTCCCAGGCTGTCAATCTTCACAGAAGCAAAGGCCAAATCAAACCCACTGCTGTGGAGTTGATTCTGACCCACAGCGCCCCTAGAGGACAGGGTGGAACTGCCTCACAGGGTTTCCAAGGCTGTCAATCTTTACGGAAGCAGACTGCCTCATCTTTCTTGCGTGGCACAGCTGGTGGGTTTGAACTGCGGGCTTTTTGGTCAGCAGTCGAATGCTTTGACCACAGTGCCACCAGAACTGCCTGCTGGCTCCCACAGAACCCCTGTTTTCACTGCTGCTTGCTTTCCACCTGTGAACACACTGTGATTGATCTCTCTGGAACCCTAGTGGGGAGCAGTCAGGTGTCCCCACTTCTGCCGGGACAGCAGGCTGCAGCGAGCGTCTCTGCTCAGTGGAGGGGCGCCTCTGGAGATGGTGGCCGTCGGGCGCAGAGCACCTCCAGGAACAATGGCGCAGAGGCGTCTGACGCCCCCACTGCAGGAGCGGAGAAGGAATCGCCATGAGCGCCAGCTCAAGGCTGATTCGCGTGAGCTGGGCACCAGCCACACCTCCCCTCACCAGCCTTTCCACCAATTCTGACACCAGCCGTCCCTTCCATGGCATCTGTACTTCTCTCCTGGGTTCAACAGTTCATTGCAATGACCACACAGAACTCACGGCTCACACTCCTGATTATGGGGTTTATTAGGGAAGAAACAGGTTACAATTCAGGATCAGACATGACGCGGGGTACCGTTCTCGGATCAGGACACCTTCTCAGCCTGGCCAGCAGACACGCCTCGCCCTGGCCCTGTGCCCCTCAGGGCTGTGGGGCCTATGGGGCTAGCCCAGCTTCTGCCCTGCTCAGACAAGTAGGACAGAATTCCTTGTTGTGTTGTCGTTAGATGCTGGTGAGTTGACTCCACGTACAGCAGACAGAACACTGCTCAGTCCAATACCAGCCTCACGGTCCCTGCTGTACCGGAGCCCATCGCTGCAGCCACTGTGTCCGTCCACCTCATTGAGGGTCTGCCTCTTTCTCTCTGACTTTATTTCTTCAAGCATGACATCCACCTCCAGGAACTGGTCCCTCCTGATACCATGTGCAAAATATGGGAGATGAAATCTCACCGTCCTTGCTCTAAATGAGCATTCTGGCTGCACTTCTTCCGACCCATGTATTTTTCTGGCAGTCCACTGCATATTCAATCTTCTTTGTCAACGTCATAACTCAGACGCACCAGTTCTCGTTCAGTCTTCTTCACTGTCCAGTCCTCACACGCATATGAGGTGATGGAAGACACTGTGGCTGGGGTCAGGCGCACCTCAGTCCTCAAAATGATTTCTTTGCTTTCTAACAACTTAAAGATCTTTTGCAGCAGATTTGCCGAATGCAACATGTCTGATTTCTTGACTGCTGCTTCCATGGGTGTTGATTATGGATCCAAGTAAATTGAAATCCTTGACAGCCTCAGTCTTTTCTCCGTTTATTGTGATGCTGCTTATTGGTCCAGTTGTGAGGATTTTCGTTTTCTTTATGTTGAGGTATAATCCATACTGCAGACTGTAGTCTTCTATCTTCATCAGTAAGTGCTTCAAGACATTTTAACTTTCAGCAAACAAGGTTGTGTCATCAGCATACTACAGGTTGGTAATGAGTCTTCCTCCAATCCACATTCTTCTTCCTATAGTCCAGCTTCTTGGATTATTTTATCAACATACAGACTGAATAAGTATTGTGAAAGGATACAATCCTGACACACACCTTTCCTTACTTTAAACCATGCAGTATCACTTTCTTCTGTTCAAATGACTGCCTCTTAGGCTATGTACAGGTTCCTCGCGAGCACAATGAAGTGTTTCTGTAATTCCCATTCTTTGCAATGCTATCTATAATTTGTTATGATGCACACAGTTGAATGCCTTTGCACAGTCAAGAGAACACAGGTAACCGTCTTTGCGGTGTTCTTTGCTTTCAGTGAAGATCCACGTGATATCAGGAGTGATACCTCTCTTCCACACCCTCTGAAGCCAGCCTGCATTTCTGCCAGTTGCCTGTGGATGCACTGCTGCAACTCTTTTTGAATTATCTTCAGCAAGACTTTCCTTGTATGTGATATTAATGATATTGGGCCTTCATTTCTGCATTATCTTGGATCACCTTTCTCTGGGATGGGCACAGCATGGATCTTTTCCAGCCAGTTGGGCAGGGAGCTCTCTTCCACATTTCTTTGCAGCCAGTGAGCACCTCCACTGTTGTATCTGGTTTTTGAAACACCTCAGATGGTGTTCCATCAATTACTGGACACTTTTGTTTTCACCAATGCATTCAGGGCAGCTTGGCCTTTCTCCTTCAGTTCTTTCAGTTCTTGAGCCTCTGCTACCTCCTGAAAGGGTTGAATGTCATTCAGTTCTTTTCAGCACAGTGACTCTGTATTCCTTCCATCTTCTTCTGATGTTTCTTGCATCACTCATTATTTTGCCCATAGAATCCTTCAATATTGCAATTAGAGGCTTGAACTTTTTTGTCCAATGCTCTCAGCTGGAAAAATGCTGAGCATGTTCTTCCCTTTTGGTTTTCTAACTCCAGGTCTTTGCATGTTTCATTGTAATACCTTACTTTGTCTTCTCAAGCTGCCCTTTGAAAACTTCTGTTCAACTCTTTTATTTCATCATTTCTTTTATTCACTTTAGCTATTCTCCATTCAAGGGCAAGTTTCAGAGTCTCTTCAACATCCATCTTGTTCTTTTCTTCCTTTCATGTCTTTTCAATGACCTTTTCCTTTCTTCGTGTATGATGTCATCCCACAACTCTTCTGGTCTTTGGTCATTGGTGTTCAGTGTTTGAAATCTATTCTTCAGATGGTCCCTAAATTCACATGGGATATATTCAAGGTTGTACTTTGGCTCTTGGGGACTTGTTTTTATTTTCTTCAGCTTCACCTTGAACTTGCTTATGAGAAATTGATGGCCTGTTCCACAGTCAGCCCCTGGTCCTGTTCTCACTGATGATAATGAACGTCTGCATCACCTCTTTCCACAGATGTAGTCAATCTGATTCCTATGTATTCCATCTGGTGAAGTTCACATGTACAGTCACCAGTTATGTTGTTAAAAACAGTATTTGCAGTGAATAAGTTGCTGGTCTTGCAACATTCTGTCAAGTGATGTCTGATGTTGTCTCTATCACCAAGGCCATATTTTCCAGCTGCTAATCCTCTTTCTTTCTTTCCAAGTTTTGCCTTCCAATCATCAGTGATGATCAGGCACCTGACCACATGTTGGGTCAATTTTAGACTACAGAGGTTGGTAAAAATTTCATTTTCTTCATCTTTGGCTTTACTGGTTGGTTCATTAATTTGAATAATGGTAGTATTAACTGGCCTTCCTTGTGAGTGTATGGATATCATCCTATCACTGACAGCATTGTACTTCAGGGTAGATCCAGAAATGTTCTTTGTGACGATGACTGTAATGCCATTCCTCTTCAATTTGTCATTTCAGGTATCACACCACATGATTATCTGGTTCCAAATGGCTAATCCCAGTCCATTTTAACTCACTACTAAGTAGGATCCACAGAAGGAAGATGGGGCGATCTATTTCCATAAAGATTTACAGCCTCAGGAACCCAACAGGGGTCACTATGAGTTGGAACCAACTCAATGGCAGTCAGTATGGTATATGTGATGGTAGTGAGAAAGATATCAATATTGACGTTTTCCATTTTATTTTTGTCAACTGCCACTATTCCGAGACTCATGCTTTGTACATTCTGTGTTCTGATTATTAATGGATGTTTGCATGTGTTCCTTGTCATTTTGAGTCGTGCTACATCAGCAATTGAAGATCCCAAAAGCTTTATTCCATCCATATTAGTAAGTTTGACTCTACTTCTTGAGGCAGCCCCTCATGTCCGAGGGGCTCATCCTCCAGGGCTCTTCACTGTGCCCCTAAGGCACCCCTCCCCTGGCAGGCCTTGCCTGAAGGCCTCAGCTCTGTCTCTCTGGGTCAGGAAGTCCCTGTGTGTGTCCTGCTGGTTCTGCTGCCATCGTTTCTCTGCAGCTGCTGCTTGTCACCTCTCACCGTCTCCTCGGACTAGGAGGTTCCCAGTGCAGGGATCCTTGGTCCAAAGGACATCCACCACTCCCATCCCTTCTTCTTGATGGTAGTGGTCCCCCTTTCGATCTCTAGGATGGCTCATTTTAAGCCAACCAATCCCCTCATTAGGGTTCTATACATCTTGTTTACATGGTCCCACCCCCACAAAGTGGCCACACACATTATTTGCATTAGTAGCAGGCCATTCAATCCCGTTAGTGGGCCACAAGCACCTATTTGCATAGTCTCACCCAATCCTTTGGTGGGAGTTACAAGACCATGAGTAGAGTGGCCACATACAAATGATGCTGGTACCACCCTCCACCTGCGACGGACAGATTGCTCTCCGAACCGCTTCCACTCTCTCACCAGCCGTGCGTGACAATTTCTCTCCTCTCACTTCTCACCCGGGCTTGATAATGCCACGCTTCTCATTTTCACCAAATCTGTGGGCACGTGAGGTAGTTCACTGCTATACTTACAGTTCTCTAGTCATCCTTCAGGCTTCCTCTCCTAAATCGCTTGCCCACTTCCCTACTGTTTCCAGGGAGCCTTGGTGGTGCAGTAGTTAAGTGCTCAGCTGCTAACTGACAGGTTGATGTTTCAAACCCACCAGGTGCTCTGTGGGAGAGAGACATGGTCATCTGCTTCCATGCAGATTGACAGCCCAGGAACTCTTGGGGGGAGTTCTCCTCTGTGACATGGGGTGGCTACGTGTCGAAAATGGACTCAATGGCACCCAATAGCCAAGATTGTTATACATGATGGTTACCAACCCTTTGTTGAACACATTGTAGGAAAACTTCTTCCTGGGTGAAACAGTTAACATGCTCAGCTGCTACCCAAAAGGTTGGGGGTTCAAGTCCACCCAGAGGCACCTTAGAAGGAAGGCCTGGTTGTGGACTTCTGAAAGCCCAGCCGCTGAGAACCCGGTGGGCGCAGTCCTGCCCTGGCGCCCAGGGCTCAGTAGGAGACTTGGCAGCAGCTGGTTGGTCAGTCTCTTTTGGTGAGGCTGCCTTCCTCCTCCTCCTCCCCTCTGCTGTCCCCAGGTGTCCCAGGTATCCAGGGCAGCACAGATGGCCAGCCCCAGCCCGCGGATCCTCCGACTGGCGAGGCCCAGGTCCCCAGCCACGCTGTTGGAAGAGTGGGACCCCATGCCGAAACCCAAGCCCCACGTGTCGGACTACAATCGCCTCCTTCACCTGGCCAGTGAGTCCAGGGTGGGGTTGGGCTCGTGTGCCGTCCCTGTGTCCTTTCCATCTGGCAAGTGTGCTCAGCGGACACTGTACTGGGCAGGAGGCAGAACCTTGACTTGAAGACTGGTCCTGCTGAGTTTTTGCCTCCCTCTTTCCTCATTCCCTCCCTGAACTATGGACCGATGTCCAAATGCCTGCAAACAATTCACACCGTGGCCACGAAGGCTTCTTGGGACACTGGCTGTGCCAGGGAAACAGAAATTAGAAAAGTTCGGGGTCCCGAAACTGAGGATGTTGGCTGAGTGGGTCTCCTAGCAGGGTGGGGGGTATAGGAGAGAAAGTTGGGGTGCAAAGTTGACGGCTTTAAAGCAGCTCTTGGCGAGATTTCCTTTTTGTCCTTTTAAACACTTTCTGTAAGTTTCCCCAGTGATAAAAGCACTAGTATGTGCTAACTGTAAAGAATTTGGAAAACTTTGTTGTTGTTGTTATGTGCCATCGAGTCTGCCCCGACTCATAGCGACCCCTCCTTGGGTTGCCGAGGCGGTATCACTACAGAAGTAGATCGCCCAACCTTGCTTCCGAGGAGTGGCTGGTGGGTTTGAACTGCCAGCCTTCTGGTCAGCAGTCAAGTGCCTTAGGCACTAAGCTACCAGAGCTCCTTTGGAAAACATAGACAATTATAAAAAAGACAATAAAACCCAGCCCTAACCCCACACGTTTGGAGTGTTTCCACCCATTGGCTATGCTGTGTGCGAACAGTGTTCCTGTTTGGGCTGGTAACACTCCAGCTCATGCATAGACCACGTGGTATTTATCTATTGTCCATGGATGGACAGCCTATTTGAACTTGGTACCTCTGGCCTGCAAGGTTGAGCTCAGGGGGCCAGAAGCAGCCACATGTGAAGTGGTCTCATCACTGACGGCTGCCCCTCTCTCCTGTCCCCTCTAGTGCCCAAGGCCCAGTCGGAGAAATGTGTCCCTGACCGAGACCCTCGCTGGGAGGTGCTGGATGTCACCAAGAAGGCAGTGGCCAGTCCCCGGATCATCTCCCTGGCCAAGCCAAAGGTGCGCAAGGACCTCAATGAGGGCTATGACCCCTACTACATCTCCCCGGCCTCCCTGGTGGCTCAGGCCTCCCCTCGCCTCTATGAGCTCGCCATCCCCAAGAACATCACCAGGAAAGTGTGACCAGCCAGGCGCTGTAAGACGCCTTGTTCCCAGTAAACACCCAAGTGCATCTCAGCCCCGTGTATGTGTTCAGCTCTGGGTGCTTTAGGGAGGAGGGAGGCAGGGCTGCGGCCAAGGAGGTGGTGAGGACAATAATAATGTTTATTTTCACATCTAGCCTGCGATTTGTACAGCCCTTTTGTTTCCCAAACCACTTTCATCTACCATCTTAACCTCCCAAAACTTTTCCCTCCAAATCTCTCACATCCAGACTTGTTTATACAACTCCTCCCTGGTTGCCCTGTAAGCACCTCACACTCAGGAAACACCCTGCATGCAGAACTTCTCTCCTAAGGGTCATCAGCACAAGGCTGGTCCCTCCCTACAAGGCAGAGGTTAAAGATGTCCCAAATTTCCAACTTTTCCAAACTGCTGAACCACTCCATCGTCTCTGACATCAACTGTTCCTCTTCCCCTCAGTATTCTCCATCCCATCTTTGGCCTCTGTGACTTGCTGCAACGTCTCATAGAATCAGAAACTGTCAAGGAAATGGCTCACGTGGTTGTGAAGGCTGCCAAGTCCCAAATCCATGGGTCAGGCATCAGGCTGGAGGCCTCTCCTGACTCATGTGGTTGCAAAGTCTGATGAACCCAAATCAGCAGATGACAAGCTGCTGGCTCACAAGGCTGCAGAAGCTGGCAGATGAGGTCAGGCAACAGGCTGCTGGCTCAAGTGTCAAGAACCAGAGGTCAGATGATGATGAGCCATTTGCAGGATCCAGAGGAAGAGAGAGAACTTTGTCAGAGCGTTCATGTATATTGGTGCAGACTCAAGGAAGCTCCTCTTGCTTGAGCAAGATGGTGCAAGGGTGTGAAGGGTGATCATGGGGTAAGGGTGTTGACTTGAGTTAAGGTGGTGACTCAAGATATAGCCCAATCTAATCCCACCTCATTCACATAATGGACAAATCATTCCAAAATGAGAAAATAGTGAGAGCACTGTTATAAAACATCAGGAAAAGGTTTTCACATAAACAGAAACATTCCTTCTTGGTTACCTGGGGTGGGAGGGGATAGGAGGGGAAGCCACTAACTAGAAGGAAGATACATATTAATACATACTAACTTGGGTGAGGGGGAAGGCAAGATATGATAAGGGGGAGGTCAGAAAAGCATAAGCAGAGGAAGACACTGGAGGGCAAGAGTTAAAGGCAACAGAGCTGAGTCCTATGATGCACATTCCTTCTGTAACAGTAATAACGATAATCGACGAGTGGACAAGGGTGAGTCCTATGATACACAATCCTCCTGTAACAGTAATAACGATAATCGATGAGTGGACAGAGCTAAGTCCTATGACATGCACACTCCTTCCATAACAATAAGAACAATAATCGACGAGTGGACAGAGGTGAGTCTTATGATGCACAATCCTCCTGTAACAGTAAGAACAATAATCGACGAGTGGACAGAGGTTAGTCCTATGATACACAATCCTCCCATAACAGTCATAACAATAATCAACGAGGGGATGTGTAGGTAGACACTCAACCTGAACTGGGGTGGGGAAGTTAATGGGAATACAGCCATGGATACATATAGGTTTGAAAGAGATATTTCCACATATGTATCTACATATGTGGCAATATAGCCAAGAATATCACTGAGCCTACTGGGGCAAAGGCATGAAGGCTCCTTAGCTGTAAGCAAACCCCTTGAGGGACAGAGTCTCTCAGAGCACAGTCTCCAGTCAGCGGGTGCATCACAGACCACGAAGATAGTGTGGACTATGTCCTATTTTGGTGAGGAGCCATCTAAGGTGCATTCTTGGCCTCTCCCCAGCCAGAGCGAAGAAGAGTGAAGAAAATCAGAGACACATGGAAACAGTTAGTCCAAAGGATGCACGGACCACATGGACTTCGAGGACCCTGAGACCAGAACTAGATGGTGCCTGGCTGCCGCTACCGACTGCTCTGAAAGGGATCACATTAGACGGCAGAGGGGAAAAAATATGAAACAAAACTCAAAATCATAAAAAAGACCAGGAATGCTGGTGGGACAGAGACTGGTGGCATTCCCGAGACTCAGCCCTTGGTCATCGTTCAGCCCTGGCACTGAACTCGTTCCCACGGCTCAATTTTCATGCAAACAATAGGCAGGCCTACACAGTGAGCAGTAACACCAGGAGTCACTCCTTACAACAATCGAGTGTCCAAGATCCAAAGGACAGTATCTGTCCAGGGACAGCGTTCAGAAGGCAGGACGAGGGACCGGAGGAGTGGAGGCAGGAGTTGCAGGGGGAGGTGGGAGAGTGGCCACTCTGAGGGGAGGGCAGCCAGTGACGTGAAACGAAACGCACGGGAATTGTTGAATGGGAAACTGATTTGCTCTGTGAACTTCCGCCCAAATCACAATACAAAGTTTAAAATTCGCAGAAACAAGAACAACCCTCAGGACAAGAACAAAACAGGACCAACGCCGCAGGCCGAGGGCTGCAGCCACAAGGGTCGTGTAAGTCACTGCACCACACACCTAACGGGCGGCTAAGAGCTGCCGTGTGACTTCATTGACCCTTACAGAGACCCGGGGAGGGCGCGACTATAACTGTCCCCATGTTACAGGGGTAGAAACTGGGGCTCAGAGAGCTTAGGAAGAGACCACAGTCCCTGGGGCTGCTGTAACAAACCGACACAAACCTAGCGGCTCACAACGGCCAACATCGATTCTCTGACAGCTCTCAAGGCCCGAGAACAGAATGCGTCTCCCTGGACTAAAGGAAGGTGCGGGCAGGGCCATCTTCCGGAGGCTCCAGGGGGATGTCTGTGTCCTGCCTTTTTCAGCTGCCAGTAGCCACCACGTTCCTTGCCCTGTGGCCCCTCCTCCATCTTCGTGCTCCTCACTCTGACCTCTGCTTCAGTCACTGCGTAAAAATGAGATCGCGCAGGGCCTGCAACGATGGCTCGCACAGCAGCGCTCGTGGGGCTGGCGCAGGACCGGCAGGGTTTCGTTCCGCTGTACAAAGGGCCCTATGCATCGGCGCCTGACGACAGCGCACAGTATGTGCCGTTTGCTGACTGAATTCTTTCACTGAGCGTGGTGCTTTCAAGGGTCATCCACACTGCAGCCCATGCCAGTCTCTAATGCCTCTCACCATCCTGCTGCCTGGGGGACTGCTTGGTGTTTATCCTTTCATCAGCTACTGCGCGGTCCTCATTGTTCAGCCGCTATGATACCAGCACCCTCTTTACTTTACAGAGCAAACCGGTTTTCCACTCAACAACCATCACATTCTGTTGTGATGTTCACTGCCGTCCCCACACTGTAACAGCTCCCTTCCTGCTTCCTCCCTGCGGCCACCCCTTCCCTTTCCCTCCCTTCCCTCCCCCTCCCATGGCCCTGGCTCTCTCCTTGGGCAGATGCTGCCCTACTGAGCTCATATGCTTGGTTGTTGTAATGAGTGCACACCTTCCTGATATCACTGTTCACCTCATAGGCCTGCCTATTGTTCGACTGACAGTTGAGTCACAGGGGTTAAGCTCAGTTTCTGGCTTGAAGGTGTCTAACGGCCATGTTCTGGTTCCCTAGTGCCACTCTGACAAGAATACACTACAAATGGGACGGCCTTAACAAGCAGGAGTTTATTCTTACAATTTGGAGGCTTTAAGTCCAAGTCCAAGGTGCCAGGCTCTAGGGGCTGGGTGAAAGCCCCTCAACTTTGGGGTCCAGCTCTGCCTCCTGCTCCCGGCCCACTGGAGCTAGAGGTGT